TCAGCATATAAGGCGACCTTAAAAGAGAAATTTTGACTGGGAACTTACGGCGCAAGATGTAGCATTCACAGCTCTTGGACGAGCAAAAATCCGAGCGCCTTCAACCCATTTGACGAAGGAGGAAGACATCTTAATAGAGATGCGCCGACAAGGATATTAATTATTTTAACTGCTCGAGTAAAGATGCCAATCGCTGCTTGATGCTATGAGACGCAGATTAGAGCATGAATATGAGAGAGCTGCAAGGCTCCAAGTTCCTGCACGATCGCACCAGGCTGAGGGCTCAGCCCATCTTTTAAAAGAAACGCAAACCACAGCTGTGAAGTTGAGCCTCACCCACAAGTCGACTAGACCATTGAGACTCATCCATTGGTGGCGGACGGCTGAAAAGCGATAAGTTCTGAATGGCTGAATCCAGAATAATTTTCGCCAACCGCTCGCGAACACGAGCGATGCTTCCTAAAGCAAACAATCACATACCATGTCCGCTGAATGTGGCGTCGTGGCTTGACTGGAGCTTGGGTTGTGAGCCTGGAACGCGCATCTGAGTTTGAAGCTGAATTCGTTCCCACATGATCATAATAAGAGGGTAGTATTCCTCCGTGCAACTAGTTTTGTGATAATCATAAATTTGACTCTTTCCTGGCAGAGTTTTGGGGAAGATCGTCGAAGGTCTTTCTAATTAGTATGATCGCCAACGTCGCTTGAAGGATGCTTGGAGCCTGCTGATGGTGGAAAGATCCCAAGAGGAGCAAAAACGCCTCACTCGCTAACACTTCTGCTGCATTGGACGCCCACTGAGACCCTGCAGGCGCCAAGGGTAGGACATTCCGCAAAGGTGAACACCTTGATGAGAGAAATGTTGGCATTTTAAAGCGTAGATGACCTATTATGAGAAGCTTTCTAAATTTTGCCCAACAGGATAGAAATGTTTGGTAATCTTGTAGAAGTCTCTTGTTGGATTACAGAGACCCAGATGTGCTTTGAGTTTCGTAGTAGTCCCCTCTTGGATTAGGGATACCTAAATATGCCTCAAAATCTTGTAGTAATCCTTTCTTGGACGAACTGCCATGGAAATGCTGTGAATTCTTGTGGTGCTCCCTACTTGAACGAGCATCCATGGAAATGCATAGAATTTTGTAGTAGTCCTTTCTTGGACCAATACTCATGCAAATGCAAAAGAAATCGTCAAAAGATAAGAAGACAGAATTGAGAAGAAAGATATCGAAAACTTACGGAAAACAAGAAAATCTGTTCCATCCAAACATGTAGAGGATGGAAAGACCAAATAGACCGAAGTCCGCCAACCATACAATATGTTAAAGTCTTCTACTTCTCAATTTGGTTTGACTGCCTTGCCTTGTGTGCCATCCGTTCATGGACGTCCTCTGCGAGCTTTGGATACGTGGTCATTCTTTGCTTCCATATCGTGTTATGTTTTTCGTCATATTCCCAAAAATGGTCAGCGATAAACCCTGCTAACATGTCTTCCATCAACTCGTCCACATCGAGATATAAGGATTGTGATCCGTAGACGGTTCCAGCAAATGATAGCGCCTCTTCAAGTGACCAAGGTTGGAGACCCTTCATCTTTACCTTGATCCATTCCCTAAGATCGTACATGCCCAAGTCCCCAGCTACCTCCCATGCAGCAGAGCATAGTTCGATCACTTCTATCCTTTGAGTCTCGTGCCGAATCATTCGGGGACCAAAATGGCCCGTGGATAAATAATCGGCAACAGGGGCAAACTTCCACGGCGGGATTTGTTTGAAGGACGGCTTCGAAAAGGACCAACCTTGATTTCCTTCTGGCTTGAGGATTTTCATTCTGAGAAAGTAATCTCGGCTTTGGATCGCTTTCAGAGGGATGAAGTACTGTTGCTCTTCTGGGCCGATCAAACATGCAACGAGGTCCTTATTATCTATACTAGAGAGGCGCTGAGTTAGCCTTCAGCGTAATCTGTGAATATTGGAAAGACCTTACAGTTCAAGGTCTTGAGTGCCTTAGGGAACTTTCGATAAGGGTACTGAAGATTCAGGCTCATTACTGGCACTTCCTGAAGCTCTCTCTCTATCTTCATCTTCGGAAGGGCTCGGCGTTGAAAGGGGGAGTGGACGATTTAGCAGTGGGGGCGAGGGGCGTCTTTCTGTGCGGCTCCTTATAGCGAGTGGCAGGAGTTGGGGCGCAACTCGATGTTGTTGCTTGGGACTTGTTTCTGCTGAAGGAATAGGAGATGCCTTTCTCTTTCGATTCTCTATATCGGCTAGAGAATTTTCCACGGCTATTTGCATATCGGGATCGGAATCTGAATTTGAAGCCGGAAATGCTTGTCTGTTTCGATTCTGTAAATCAGCCAGATTTGCTGCCATGGCCCTTATCAAGTCGGAATATGGCTCTTCCTCTTCCTCTTCATAGCCTTTTGCGATAAGAAAATCCTCCCAGTGCTGGTAAACGGGGTAGTCATTCTGGACTTCGAAGTATGCCGCGTCTAAATTACTGAATAGATCTCGCGACGCTGGTATTACCCGCGCTTCGAAAGGTCGTAAGTCGACTTGTCGCGCCCAAGCTCTGGAAAGCTGTTAGCGATCAAATTCTGACAGGTGAGCTAACTTTGTCTGGATCTTACATTTCGAGTTTCCCCATCAACAAAACAGCGAGATAATAGCCATTGGGGACGTTCATCATCATCTTTCTGGGAATTTTGGTAATAGGCACGATCACACCTGGCCATGGTGGTATAGAACTCCTTCCGGACGAGACCAAGGCATAATCACCAATTTGCATGTTGCCGCTTCTGTTTTTGAGAGGAGTGTTTCGAGACGATGGTTTGACTAAGTAAAATTAGGAAAATAACGGTGGAAGAGTTGATAGAATGAGAGAATGAGGTAAGTTGAGGAGAGTCTGGATAAAGACGAAGGGTAGGAGTCTGGGGGCCCAACTTGAGTTGGAGATATAAGCTGTTGATGAGATGGATGTCCTGTAGCCTTTAGAATGAGAGAAAAGCCGAGCGGGAATGCTTGAAAGTGGCAGTAGAACCAGTATGCGCTTCAGATGTCAAAGTAAGCACACCGAAAATTAGCCCTCCCCAAACACCCTCTCTCTGACTCCACCTCGCCTGTAACAACGACTACAGGAAACTTCGCAGAGCCAGGTCCTGGTGACTTGATAGAGGGATCGTAGCTTCAGCAGTAGATGGAGGGTAGTGTAGAGGGTGATGTCCAAAGTGTAGTTTTGGTTCGTAGGTTAGGGTGAGAGGTAAGGTGCAAGCTGAACTGGTAGAGAGAGGCCGTCAGAAGCAGAATCAGTCAAATCGATGACCTGGAGAAACCTCTGGAAGCATTCGCCTAGTTGGTTCTGTAGCGGGAGCGAGAGAAGAGAGGAAGGTGAGCAGTCGATTGAGAGAAGAGGTTAGAAAATGAGATTAGATTGGCTAAGTTCGCAAAATAAACCGTAAATAGGAGATGATATGGTGGGAGAAGCTGGTATGGAAGAATAGAACTTAGGAAAGTCAAGCAGCGCTCCGGTCTAGTGAGAGAAGAAGACTCTTATCGATCCGTCTTGACGAACCGCGAAGCATATCTACGAGCTCTATCAAAATAATCGACGCCATGATGGCAGTTATGGTAAGACGTACAGATACTACGATGGTGTTTGAAGGTTGAGGATGGAGATGTGGCTGTGGTGGCTTAAATATCTCCGGCTTACGTAAACATAAGCTCTTGCGAGTTGGCTTCTTCACAAGCTCACCAAAATCTCCAATTCAACACCACAACACCACACTTGCTTTCAATCCTACTTATGAGCCGGAACAAGATAGGTGTTTCTTAATACATCCAAATCCCCGGCTCACAATCAATTTCTTAGCTCTTCACTTGAATAACGCTCGTCCCGCAATCGCCCATCATGCTTGGCCTAGCAAACATGCAACCCAGGCAACTAGCCACCCAACTCCTAAACTTCGCGCTGGTCCTGTCAACCGCATTCATGCTATGGAAAGGTCTCTCTGTCGTCACCGATTCGCCTTCTCCAATCGTCGTCGTGCTCTCAGGATCCATGGAGCCCGCATTTCAGAGGGGGGATCTGTTATTTTTGTGGAATAGAGGGATGGATACCCAAGTAGGAGAAATAGTTGTGTACAATGTCAAAGGAAAGGATATCCCAATTGTCCATAGGGTCGTTAGGCGGTTTGGTGGAGGGTAAGCTCGATCTCTCTCACTTTCACAACAGTTCGTCTATTCTCGAGCTTGCGCATTCTGCCGGGATTGTTTGACGACGCTGATCGCGTATTGATTGTTATGATATCTTTGCGACTGGACTGATATTTTGAATAGCAAATCTCCCCTCCGACTTCTCACAAAAGGCGATAACAACGCCGCCGATGACACCGAGCTCTACGCCGCCGGCCAATCATTCCTGAACCGCAAAGAGGACGTTATTGGAAGCGTGGTGGGATATATTCCATTCGTGGGCTATGTGACGATATTGCTGAGCGAGAATCCGTGGCTGAAGCAGGCGATGCTGGGGATTATGGGTTTGATGGTAGTGCTGCAGAGGGAGTGAGAGAGTTGGTATGATGGGGAGAATATACCTAGTTCATGAAGCATGATGAGAAGGGTCATCAATTTCTAGATATCGAAATGATCAACTGTCAGGGACGAGGATTTTGTTTGTCAGGTGCTGTTGTGCGACGTGTGAGCTCTGTTCCGATAGTGTGGGGGAAAATGTGAGACTGGGCAAGCGTGGCGTTGAGGTCATACGGAAGGGAAGCCCAAAATTCACCATCAGAAATTTTCCAACAGTACTCTATTCCATCTGTGTTTCTCCGTTATAGAACAAAAAGTACGACTCCGCGCTAGTGGCGATGGATAGATGCTCGATGCTTCCCATCAGCTCATCATGTTACTACTCTCCCATCACATAACGGATGACAGGTGATTGGAGAATTGGTGAATGAAGAGAAACAAAAAGATCTCGAAAACTCAAGAGCAATAAAGAAGAATGCGGACGGAGAGGTTCGAACTCCCGACCCCTGCCTTTTTTCCAGAGTCACTGGGAAGGCAGTACCCTAACCACTGGGCTACGCCCGCTTCAAGCATACAAGTGATGCTTGTGTTGCTCGAGAAACTCGTATATAAGGTCATACGAAGTGCTCAGCTCGGGAAGAAGACAAACAAGAGAACTGAGAAGGGGCGATGACAAGGGGGAGGCGGGAACTGGCGTATCGATATGCGGGTAACCGTGGCGGTAAACGGATCAAGTGGGCTGAAGGGAAAAGGTGGTTGGAGATTTGAGGCTGACGGTGGCAATAGCTAAAGACGGATGAGATTGAGAGAATGGTGCAGCGGTCAGTGGCTAGAAGCTCGACATCCTCATAGTCGCGACCTGGCAGTTAGGTGGCAAGAGTGATGCTATGGTGAAGCCATAGCAGTAGCCCAGCATAGTAGAGACATGAAAGATATGGATGTGGTGCAGCGATACACTCAGCATGTTAACGAGCAAAATGTGCCAAGGCAAGGTTCCACTCGAGCCCGATCAGATTGATGAGCTCTACTGATGCAGAGAGATTTCATACCGCAGACAACTAGTGTACATAGGCCATGAGCTTCGTGATGCCTCCGCGTCTGAGATAAGTTAAGACGCAAAACATCATTCATGAGATAACCTATGACCGCGCAAGACGTCTGCGGACATCAGGAGATCATACATCTTGATAGCCTCGTGAGACCTCCACTGAGAGAGAAAAGAGAAGAATTGAAAAACAAAGGAAACCGATCCCGAATCCTGAGCCCCATTTGCACCACAACCGCCGAACCGATATAAAGTAGCCCATTTCGAACGAAGCTCAAAGATGTGAGACTTGGACGAGAGAGACTGCAGACGATGAATTAGACGAGGACAAGATGTTTGACTGATTACTCGGACTCCTCTTCGTCGTCGCCGCCCTGAGTTTGTTAGATAGTACTTTGGTCATTTACAGTCAGCGTAACTTACGGCAGCATATGCGGCCTTCTCCTCCTCGTACCGCTTCTTGTCAGCGGCGGCCTTCGCCTCATAGGGAGCACGTTGCTTGTCGGTGAGGCCCTTCCATTTCTCACCAAGAAGCTTGCCGACTTCACCTAGGAGAGAGTTATTTGGAGCTTAAAGGAAGAAATACATGATAACTTACCGAATTTGATACCTGGGTTGTCTTCACGGACTTTCTCGCGCTGCTCGTTTGCAAAGAACATGTAGGCAGAGAGACCGCGCTTGGGTGCGTTGGGATCTATCGGTAGAGGTGAGCCAAATCCATGGTTTTGGACTGAAGTGACGTGAGCAACTTACCCTTCTTCTTCTTTCCAGAGTCGGCCTTAGCGGCCTTGCCTTTGCCACGGGTCGTCTTTTCCTTAGGCATGTTGAAGGTAGCTAATCAAAGCTGTCTGGATCACGTTATCAGTGGGTGATTGAGTTGAAGATGACGACAAGTGAATCTAGAGCCGAGTAGCGATTTCAAAACGGGGAAAAAGTGAGGTGCAAGCGGGAACAAGCGGTGAAGTCAATGACAGCAGTGCAATTGAAGTTGCTGGTTTGGCAGGTGTGGGGAGTACGTGAGTGACATGCGCTGGAGCATTTGGTTCTCTGCATCAAGTACATTTGGTCGCAACAACGCCAAATTGCGTCGCAGAGCTGTGTAATCGTGATAGATTAGAAAGCGAGAGGACTCACAAACAGTAGTAGTGTTGAGGAAATGTCGGGCTTTCGATGATGGTCTATGATATGGTCAGTATGCGCTTGGTATTAAGGAATCGCGACGGCGATGAACAAGAAACCAAGACGCGATAGCGACTTCAAGATGACGAAAACAGAGCTTGAGAACGTCATGTCGCGTGAATTGGGGAAAAAACGCGTGAAAAAAAAAGCTAGAGGGTGGTTGGGCGTTGCGCGGCGCAAAGCTTCATGAAATGTTCCAAGCGAGACTTACCAAAGTTTGTTGTATGGGAAGTCGTAGTAGAGAGCACACAGTATGGGAGCTGAGTGTGAGGGAGAGAAGAGGAGCGAGCTGCTACGGCGAGGTGGGCGGCAGAGCAAGGCCGTTTTTACTGCGCGGGGGAACCAGCTGCCACACCAAAACATCCGCAGGCGAGTCACGTGCCCAACACTAACAAAGCAGGAGCCCCTCTAAAACCGGACTGAATGAGCATCGCATTCATTCACCGCAACGCCATGTGCTGAATTCTCTAGAATAATTGGAGGTGATCCTTCATCATGTTTACACCGCTTGTCCATCTTCGTAGAAAATATTATCCTTTTCTATGCTTTCGCTGTTCGTCCTTTATAAGGCCGTTTTCGCAGGTGTTGCGCGACGGCCTTAGAATGCCTAGGGGAGGGACGCTACTTGCTACCCTTACGCATTCCTGATGTGCGGGTTTCATAAATTGCAGGCAGGCGGTACGGGCTTGTTATTCGCTCCGAGTAAAATTGTCGCTGGAACGTGTTATCTCCTACACCGGGGCGGCTGGCTGAAAGCAGGAGTCCCTACACCAAACTACGCTCCCCCAACATCCGGCAGCGCGTGTGACGGGAGCGCTTCCGTCTGCTTGCATATTCGCTTGAATGATCGAAAAAACTCTCGGCAGATGTGTCCAAGCTGAGGGACACAACATACATCATATTGTGGAATCTTTGGGCTGGAAATTTGATGCCCAGTGAGGGGGATGGCATCTTGCGGATAATGGCTCCTTTACTCGAGCCGCTGCAAACGTCACCTTGCACGGCCTTTGGGTGAGGAGGACGTTAATTTGTCCATCAAACTAGGCCTGATGGAGAAGAGTGCAAATATTTGGACTGAGGTTCTGACAGTCAACAAGGCGTAAAACCTTCCAATTTCGTGACTTTTGAAATAAAAGCCATTGAAAGATGCTTGTAATGATTATACGGACTGATCGAGATGAAAAATAAGAAGGGGAGGGGATTGTTCTCAGTATCCGCGTCTCCTCCGGCAGGATGTGGTCAGTGTACCGTCGGAGAACAACCAAATCTCTCGTGTTTCAATGCAAAGCATCTCGATGATCAAGGGTTCGGATTAGGGACTCAGATGTACATCTTGATGATATTCTGGAAACAAGAAAAGCTTCAAGGTTCAAACAAACATTTTGGACCAGAGATTTGCCTTCCCGCACGTGAAACCTTGAGACTGGATTAGTAATATCCCTTGATTCAATCGTCATTTATTGCCCCGGAAACCGTGTGTTGGTCTCAAGTTTGGCCGATGCGACTTTTCCTTCAGAATTCATCATGACAGCCTGATATCAACGGTTCTCTTCGGACATGGGGTAGCAGTGCAGAGTAACCCTGTCAATGTTAGAATACATTGGGTTCGCTCGCCGTGCTGCGACGTTCCTGAGTACAACAAAGATGCCTTGTAAGTTCTGTTCCGCCAAAGGTGCGGAAGCAACAACTGAACGCGAAAGCGATGCGGTAGGTACAATGAAACCTCGAATGCACTATCATCTTCCAACGGGGATTACCTCATGTCCACTTATCTTCCCTCGAGCTATCGCGCCACAGTCGTCTTATTACGAAGCGAAGTACTCTGTCACCATGGCAGCAGTTCGCATTTGGTACATCCCCCTTCCCCAATACAGAGTCAGAATATCGGTGAAGAGTCTCCTACCCTGGGCGCCCGGTTGGGGTCGCTGCATCCCCACGGGACTATAAGAGAGCGATAGTACAACTTGAGTCTTGATGCCGCGTTTCCCGGAATACCTCGCCATGGACAATGTACTACGTACACGGCATATAAACGTGGTTGGAAACAAGGCATCTTCAAAGCTGTCTTACGGGGCTGGAAAAGTGACATGTCAAGTCTACCTCATGCACCGACCTTTCACACGAGATACTTTGCGAATCTTCTACTCGATGCACACTCCCATGCTGATGTTAGTAGATCTTGTGGCTACCAAATGGGTTGTGGAGCTCATTGGAGCTGTTCAGCAGAGGAGAGGCAGCCTCTAGAAGCGAATTTGGAAGCTACGACCTAATTTTGTGACACCCTTACCACAGCTGCTGCTTAGGGCCTCAAAACTGCTGTTGAACGCCATCCTTTAGGAATGAAAGCATACTAGCACCACAAGAGACTAAGTATACCACTTTCTTGAAACCAAACACTCTCCGCATCTGGCTTCTATAGCGCGTTGTTTTGTACCGTCACTTTTATTTTTGTTGTTTCAACGTTCATTCTGCATCCGCAATCACGAGATCGGTACTGCCTTTCAATTGCGGACTTATATATAGGGTCGGTCGCACATAATCTCTCGCAATTTCTCTTTCTCTGCCTCACGATATCCTCCGCTGCCAGACTAGAGCGGAGTGTAGATGTACGATGAAGGGCTGGTTTAGCAAGACAACAGAGCCAAATGAGTCCACCTGTGAGTTTCGAGTGACCCTGTTACAAGCTGACTAATGCATCACTCGCTTGCACTTCAACTTCTGTGGATGTATTGAGATAAGGCCTTCCTGGTTTCTTGAGCGAGAAGTTGTGCTTATTGTTGAAAATGCTTTACTACTTGTACTAAGCAATTTCAACGCTAAAATGTACCCCATTCATACAATCTCCCCCGGGAGAGGTCTTGCTACCTGTCCGAGGATACTATCATAACCCTGGACATCATCCACTGGTCTGATACAATCCCTTTGCTGGCGGGCTGGATGCTTGGCGCCCGTCTTTCGTCTTTCGTCCTCAAATCGCTTCGTCTAATCCTATTCATTTGACAGTTCAACACAGCCTCAGAATGAATCACATAGGTCAACTTGCGCTCATCCGTCCTCCTCATCATCCATGACAAGTTCGCGCAGGACTTCATCCTTTGCCCAGTTGATGCCACTGCCGACAATCATCCCAGAAAGGATTCCCTTCAAGATCTTCACTCTTCTCCGGGATTCCTTCACGCCTTTTTCTACGTCCCGAACTCGATCACGCAGCTGAGAGTCCTGGATATCTTCGGTTGATTGAGTTTTCATTTCCTCTGCTAAGGCAAGAAGGGTTTGGGCAAGCTCCTTATTCCTCTCGTTGGCGGCGATGTTTCCTTGCGCAGCCGCAGTCAAATCTGGC